CCAGACCAGAGATGGTCTTATTGGTGTTGGAGGTGTTGTGCGTCAAGCTGTTGTTTGAGCCCAACTTGTACACGGACAAGGTGTACTGGACAGCGTGAGCAACAGGGTCCCAGGATACAGTGATGCTGTCATTGCTGGGGGAGGAGGTGGCGGAGAACTGAGGAGGAGGCAAAACTGTGGAGGAGAAGAAAGTTTGACAAGTTTTACATGTTCTAGACCACTATTTACAAGCCAGGTCCTTACCAGTTCCATCCAACACTATCTGCCTGTCTTAAGTGTGGACTTAAGCCCATTCAGATATGGACCTGTAATTCTTTTGGTTCAGGGCAAGTCCAAGTCTATCAGAGCAAGTTTTACTGTAAAGTCAAGCCTCATGTCCTTCGAGCCAGTCAGGTCAAAAGTCTTTCTGAGCAAAATGCAAGTCAAGCTGCAAGTCTTCTAGCTCTCTGAATGCTGACTATTAAATGACTGTATAACTGTAATCGTGTCTTTTATATATCTAACACCAAGTTTTTTTTTACTGCATAGGCCTATTGAATATTCAACTTAAATATTCTTTTGCTGACTACTGCTTTTTAGATCTTCGTCATCTTGAACTATATATTTTAGCCGGATGAAGGATTTTAGTAATCGAACATCTGGATCGTAAGTTATCAGAGAAAAAAAGCTGAGCTAGCGTTAGCAGCAGCTCGGCTCGTATACCCTCCGGGACGTAATTTGTCCATCAAACAGAAACACAGGTTTTTTAAGTGAAACTGCTTTATTCTGTGTTTGTTTTGGAGGGGAGGAGACCTCTGTGGATAATGTGGCTTCTGGTAAAAACTCCTGAACAATGAAGACTGAAGGAATCCTAACTGGGAGAAGCTGACTGCAATGACGGCAATGGTAGTAAAGACAACGACTCCCATGATCCTACATTACTTTACAACGTCATCAAACTTTGTACGTTTTTTGGATGTGAGAGATCCCCTAGTGACAAAAATTTCATATTGTAATAATTTCAGTATTGCATTTTTTCTCCTTGCTCATCTCACTGACCAAATTTGGGTGTGGCTTAGTTGGAAAAGGTGATGTCACATATTTCTGAGCACCAATCAGGACTAAAAGGGCATTTGAACCAGAACAGTTGGGTTGTTTAGCCACTGTCAATGAACAATGATCTAACTACACCCACATAGTCCTGGTAAAACAGATTAGCCTTTAATCATTTTAATTAGAGTTTTTGACTGTTAAATTAATACTTAAAGATGATTTTTATTTAACCATCAATATTTAATGTTATTGAGAAATATTTAAGATTTGAAGCCATGTTTTCAGGGGCTTTAAGTCTCAGCCTACTGTCTGAAAATCATTGTTTTCTGAGAATTTTGATGTGTAAACTTAATCTTAATCTTAATAGACCATTTTTTTCTCATGTTTGAAAGATGTTATTGTTCATTTGAATTTGACATTAAGCAGCCTATGTTTGTAAAATAAAATGAAATCCCAGACGAATAATGAGGAACAAAAAAGTGAAACTGCTTGTTCTTTTTTTGTTTTCGGCTCATATGGATCATATTTTTCTCCCCAGGGTGGGAGTGGAGGATATAGGTTGACAGGAAAAGGTCATCTCATTGTGTCTGACATAGAATCGTCAGGTATAGTTACCACCAATACAGCAGGGACCCTGAGGGGTCGTGGTGCATTTATTGGGTAAGACAAACCTGGATCTGCACAAACAGATTATGTGTTTACATCTACTCACAGTACTGTGTATAGTGGCTTTGCTATGTGACAATGAGGCAGATCAAGTGACTCCTGCAAGGCATTGGTATTGATGACAAAAGTACTCAGTGGTTCCCCATGTCAGTCATTTCTATACATAGATCAGCCCTTAGGTGTCTGATTTCATCTATTAGGTTTGGTTTCCCAGCTGTGGGAGTGGTAATGTGAAAATCTAACATTCTGCACAGAAGTAAAAATAAGATGAGAGATAAAAGTACCTGTCTTTACAGTCACAGGAAGAGATGGCTGACTGCGGCCTCCGGTATTCACAGCCATGATGCTGAGCGAGTAGTCAGTGTACGGTGTGAGGTACTTAATCTCAGCAGGAGAGGTGGGAACGCTGTCTTCTCTGTAGAAGCCATTGGTGTTCTGGACTCGTATAATGTAATTTAACGCCCCGGTCTTCAACGTGAACTCCGCTATCAAGGTCCTGCTATCCTTTGACTTCACTGTCACAATGGGATCCATAATCTCAGGGGCTAAAAATAGTCACAATCAGTTCAGATTAGAGACAGCATCCAAGAAAAGCACACATATTGTAAAATTTATTTTATAGCAAATGGCTATGGCTGTGAAATCCACCTTTTAGGATTTAACATTTTTATTTTGTCTCAGTTTCCCTGGGAATATTTGAGAAAAACACACACTGAATATAACAATAAAAGAAAAATCCATTATATTATCATTGCAATAAAAGAGGGGGATCTGTGCTCTGCTTCTCATTGAACATTGGCAACTGCCCAATGTGCCCATCATGAAAGTAACATTTAGGTGTTTAAATTTACATTGTAATATCGCTGTTATACTGGATCCATTGTTTCAGACTGTTTAGTTGACAGTGATAAAACTGTACTGTACAAGTACTTTCAGACAAAATCAAGCATGTACAACACCAGAATAGAGTAAAACAGCTTGTTTTTGAAATGGAAAAACAATGAAGCACTAAATTAAATATTTGTTGTTTAAACAGTAGGTTACATGTATGGACAGAAGTGTATCTCACCTGTGACTGTTTCTACAGATGCTACAGCCAATGCAGTTTGATCGTTCAAAGCAGTAACTGTGAATTGATACAACTTGTTCGGGGACAGAGAGTTGACCGAGCCCATCACTGTGTTTGGACCAAACGAGGCAAAAGCAATAACATCTTGTGTGCCGTTGAGTTTGACTTCAATCTTGTACGAGGTGGCTCCTGAGACCTTGGTCCAACTGAGAATCATGCTCTTGGATGTTGCTGAGAATTTGGATACTGAAGAAAGACGATAGAAGTGGATATTAGCACTTGTTCATCGCCACGAGAATTGTACACATAAATGTATAATATAACCAAGGTTTTGTGCCCTATCCTTATCATATATGACAGTGACATAAACATTTACTGTAAATCTGTGGTAAAAAGAGAACATACGTTACCTGTAAAGGCTGCAGCCTGCAAATTTAGACAAAAAAGTATTATTAACAATAGTGTTATGTAGTTATATAAAATCTAAGTTACTACAAGTTACTTTTAAGGTTAGGTTTCCATTGAATAGTGCTCCTTCTTTTTCTTAACAAATTGTTTGTGCCTGAACTTCAAATAAGCAAACTATTATAATAGATACATAAAATATGATTTTATTACTGTACCTGTGAGCATATGCCCATCATGACAAAAATCCCCAGCCAGTTCATAGCGCCTGTTCTTCACGTCTGTCTCTTAAAACACTCCTCTCACTGTTTCTTACACTTTGTACCTTCTGTTAGATTTTTAGAAATACTTCACTCTTAGCTGTTTTATCTTTCCTTAAACACATCTGCTGTCTGTGCAGGTTGACATACCTGCATATGGCCCCTCCCACTGAAGGGCAAATGTCCAGTCACAGTGAAGCAGAGCGATGCACCTTGAGGCAGGTGCAGGCTGTGTAGCATGAGATGGAAACACCTTGTAGCTTTGGCATGATATTCTATATTCAAGGATGTAGTGAAAACACAGCAGAATGTGGCACTTAAGGGGGTCTGGCAAAAAAAAAAAGGATTACCTTGCCTAGAAGCTTCCAATCCCTCCCTTTTACTTTGAGATGTGAATACACTTTCCATTGTTGGAGCCTATTTCAGCCAGGAAAAGGAAAACAGACGAAATTTTATAAGGAAACTAGATAATGGGATAATAAGTAAAACATTTTGACCTGCTGTTCTAAATAAATTATTATGTCAGTGTTATGATATAGTAGAACTCATCATGAGTATTTTGACTTATAAGTCCAAAATTTTATTTATTATTTCATGTTTGGCTTAATATCTCAAGGTTATGATTAAGTCAATTCATAATTTTGATTTAGGCCTACAAGTCAAAATCCCGATTTATCATCTCATAGGCTAATTTCTCTTACAATTTTAAGATTTTGATATAGTATCTCATATTTTTAACTTCAAAAGTCAAATGTTTTGACTTTATATGTCCTCAATTTTGTATCTTCTCTGTAACAGTTTTGTCTTTGACTGGTGAGCAAAGTTATTACAGTTACCTACAACTAACAGCTAAAAATAGGTGTTAAAAAACATTTAAAAAACAAACTAAACAATATTGTGTACTTACAAAAGTTAGTTTTAGTCTTTGTCAATTTGGTAAAATGTGTCAACCCAACAAGCATATATACAAATAAAACTGAATAAAACTGAATTGAATTGAATGTTTATTAGGACAGTATATATAACTTGTCTTCACAAAGTGTTTGTACTGTACATTGACAAATACGACCCGTATTATAAAAACACAAATGCACAAAGAAAGTAATACAAACTAAACATTTTTAAAAATTGAACTGAAACGAGTAAACCCACTCTGGAAACCATAGGGCTAAACAAAACTAATGAAAAAAAAAACAACAACACTATAAATATTATAATACTCTGGT